TTCCATTGTATTCTATACCTAAGTTGTAAGAGCTAGGCCAATCATTTTACAATGTTTAAAACTATTCGAAAGTATTCACTTTTTATGGAACAAGACAAGCGAACAGGCGGAGGTCCTGAGCTCCTCGAATCCCCCTAAAAGGCTACAATGCACTGGTAACTCCTCTGAAACTCTGGAGCTGTGGGTGGCCATTTTTGGATTACCATCATATGAACCGTATCTTCACGTATCACATAACCAAACCACGTATTATAAACAAAATTGGCGTTATAAACTAATCCTGTTTTGCCGTCGTCACAGCTTTTTATTATTATTGAAATTTAGGAAAATTTAATAGCCAAATACCATTTCATACGATCCAATAAACAGAAATAAACAAAACGCTAAATATAAATGAAATTCCGGTATTTGTTAGAACATGGAATTTTATATTTCGATATCGTTGTTTAGCATACGTTTACCTATTATTATTCCCCGAAATACAAGCTAGGTTTAGCTCAATTTCGAACAATTATGCTACGGAACCTAAATCCTGTAATGAAATAAGAGTAAGCCCGTAATATTTATGCACACATAGTAAACTTAGGGTCTTATAATGAGAATTTTGAATTTAATTCTGAATAGTGTGTAATCAAACATTATTGCAATTCAAATCAAAATAAATCAATATTTTTATAATGTTACTCGCAGCTCCGGCCTGGTGCACTAGAATGAACAAGTGGGCTTTTTAGTCATTAAGAGTCTGACACTTTCTCTCGCCTCACCCTAGGCGGGAGCAGTAATTTGAGGTTTTCCTTTACTATCACAAAAAATAGCCAGGTCAAGAGAAGGTATTTAGAAAGAAAGTAAAAACATTTATTTGAGACTCGCACAGAAAATAAATACAATTACAATTACATTTTTTATTTTTTATATACAAAAAGGAAAAAAGAAAAAATAAACAAAACAACAACGCAAACATATTAAAAAATAAAATAAAGACTTGTGCGAGGTCAAAAAGGCCACTATCTCAGCATATGCTGCGATAATTCGCAAGGATGTATTTAATGATTTCTCCCTTCAAAAAACGGGGTGAATAGAATTTGAGGGGTGAATAGATATACGAAAGGAGTGAATAGATGTTGGTGATTTTTCCTAGTATCTATCTCCTCTTCTGTGTCTATTCACCCATCGAATTCTATTCACCCCGTTTTATCGCAGTTCAAATTAAAACCACAATGAAGAAAAACTACGATACAGTACTATGTAATCAAACTGAATAATAAGAAAGTGTTTTTTTTATTGGTTATAGGTTCGCGCTTGACCGCTATCTCACCTGGTGGAAAGCGGCGATGCGGTCGACGATGGAGCGCGCTTACCTAGAAGTAACCTATTCACTCTTGACTTAAAGATACCCGGATTGTCACTATCAGGAAACACCGACTCCGGCAGGTAATTCCACTCCGGTCCAAATGTGTCGGTTGATTATGAATCTTAAGATATTAGGAAAAGAATATCATCGTTTTTTATTAAAATATGTATATGTAGCAAAGGTGCACATATAAAATATAAACGGTTACGGTTGGTAAACAATATGGGTATTATAATTTCGGTTTGATATATGATATTATGTTTAGGAGGACTACGAAACTGCAGCAATAATCAAGTTTCTACAAGCCGCTGGTTCGTGTTACCGAGTCCTTTGTCCGATTTCACAATAATTTATCAGGATAGTCATTGTTACTGCATCAGTACACATGTTAATTGAAATGTTATCGCACCCTTTGTACGTACTTGCCCAAAGGCGTTAAGGGTCATATTAATCCTATTAAAACGGTGCATCCGAATAACTAGGCAAATGCAATGCCTCCATCAATATTTCAAAAACGAAACGTTTCAATGAATTTTGTCGCTAATGCGAACTTGTACCATCAATATACATCAATCCTCAATAGCATAAAATCTTATTTTATTTAATAAATATGAAATTGAGGCACACCGTCTGAACAATAATCGATTATTTTTTATTTATTGTATAGGTAGAAAGAACTGTACTTTATTGAGATTCTTAAAGAGGTTTAGAAACATGTTGAGCACCAATGTTATATATCGAAAGTGACATGTGCACATCTATTTTTCTATTTTTCTTATATTGTTAGGGTTGCGAGAGCATATGTAATAAAGTACAGCGGTCCCGATTCGTAGCAGGAGAAGAAACGAGGTAGTTTTTAATAAGTAACACTTAAACCTCTTCATTACCGAGAGCTAAAGAAGTAATTATCCGATATACTCCCTCAAATCCATCCGTTGCAAGTCCAATGTCTTAAGAACGCCAACGCTAAGACCAATAGACCACCACAAACGGGGGAAGGGGGGGGGGGGCTGTAGGGTTGATGTTCAGCCGGGTTTTGCAGTGCTAGCGTAATAAGGCACCGCGGCCTCGGTCTAGATCAAGAGATGGAACACGAGAGATTTAGTCAGTAAGAGTCTGACATTTTCTCTCGCCTCACCCCTGGCTGGAGAAGACATCTGATGATTTTCAAGACAAAAAAGCTTTTTGCCTCATTAAGATATAGTTTACTGATTTATTTGATCTGATGGTTTTCAAGACAAAAAAGCTTTTTGCCTCATTAAGATATAGTTTACTGATTTATTTTTCATGCTTCGATACACGTATTGTCAATAATAGCTCAAATCGACAAATAATTAAGCGCTCTCACTCCGTATATTCGATAAAATTTTACACATAAAACAAATGGAGAGAAATGACTGATAAAAATTAATTCCAGAGCGTAGGTTGGGACAATAGCTGAGGCATTCATAAATAAACGCTTTGATATGTTCGATTTTAGTATTATTTTTGAACATTCCTAACTAAGTAGTATTTTGAAATGAATTCATAAAGCATAGGGCGTTAAAAATAAAGTTCAGCTTAATAAAAGCTTAGCAAATCTCTTTTTTTTTGTAAGGGTAAAATCATCAAATGACTTTGCTTGCGAGGGAGTGCTAGCCTTTTACTGCCTAAAACACCCCCGTTCCTACTTCTGCTTTAGGCCGCGGCCGCGGTACCTGACAGCGCTAGCCACGCATCTTTCTTTTTTTAAATATTATGTTCAAGTAATGATTGTTTTATTTGATATCCATTTTAGAACAAAAAACAGGTACCAGTTTTTGCCAGCTACGTATTTTAGCGCAAACTTTTTTTTAAAAATATTTGAGAAACTCACAAGTTTTAAAATTTCATCCTTCCGCCTCCTATATCAATCGCCAACTACACTATCCTTAAATTCTATACCCCTTTAAGGCCATCCGGCCGGCATTGCACTTGTGATTTCTCTGATGCTGCAGATGTCCACGGGAGTGAGATCGTTTGTTTACCAAAGCGTATAAAGCGACAGGATCTTTTACTGCTTAGTGACTTAAAAATGTTTGTACCCAATTAAAATTAAAAAAAATAATATTTAAATCGTTCTGAACTAAGCTTTTATATTGATGTTTAATATGATTTTCATATCGATAGAAAAACTTTTGTGCAAGTAAATGTTTTACTATAGTCTATACTAATATCATAAAGAGGTAAAATTTGTATGTTTGTAAGTTTGTAAGATGGTATGTAGGGGGTAATCTTTGGAACTGCTGGTCGGATTTCCAAAATTCTTTCACTGATAGATAGCTACAATGTTCCTGAGTGTCATAGGCTATAAAACATCACGCTACAACCAAACGGAGCCGAGCAGCGGGTGAAACCGCGCGAGAGTAGCTAGTATTATATAAATTATTGTTTCCTACAAACGACACGCCTAGACACACGTGTTGTTCAGTATGCAAAAATGGACTATGTTGTTTGAGCACAGTAATAAGTACGTAGGTATTGATTGAGTTATTAACAACAAGAAAAGGCTCTTAAAAATTATTATTTATACCTGAATTATGCAGTTTTGATGCTACTTATAACACCTAGAAATAAAACAAAAAACTCCTTGCTTGCCCGTATCACATACAATCTTCTTTATCTCTTCAAATTAACTAGCGGGATAGCTATCAAAGACGTTTATTCCGGCCACGAGATCTCATGTAAATATTACTGGCTTTTTTCTCTACATATTTCACACTCATTACGCAAAAATGTGCGTTTAAAATCAATAAAATGTTTCATAAAGTTTTATTTTATTCGCGCATCTATTGTACTACGTCTAGAAACTGCCCACGCGAACTCGTAACACACTTTCATTAACGCCAGCAGAAACCTTGAGAGCCATTGGAATGTCCAACTACGCTATTTGTGACATAATATCGTCTATTTCGAACCGCATCCGTCCAGTGTTGACTCTGTGGTACGTATTTATAATCAGTAAATCAGTTCCCGCGCATCTTTGACAGCTCCCCGGAAAAACAAAGATGGCGTCGGGAAGTGCGTCTTTAGAAAAGAGGTGTTATTTTTAATTTTATTTATTGTAGCATTTATTTAGGTTCTATTTTTGTTATTTTCAGGTGAATCATTCGTTGCTGATAGCTATACTTTCCTGTATAATTCTATTCAAAATACAACTTTAACATACACATAAAATACTCGAATTCTTTATAAGATAAAGATCGAAGTTAAAAGCGTCAATATTAAAAGTATTTGGACAGATCGAGGCGAGAAACGTTTAATTGCTTTTATTTAAGCATACCACGGCAAGTATTTCAACAACAAAGGCCGAAAACATTTAATCAATTAAGTACTAAAAGAAAGTTTCCATTCGTCACACTCATATGTATATATTATATTATAAAACTGTAGAATTTGTTTGTTTGAACGCGCTTCCACTCGCTGCTCGGCTCCTACAAATCGTAGCGTGACGTTTTATAGCCTAAAGCCTTCCTCGATAAATGTACTAACAAACACAAACAGAATTATTCTATTCAAACCAGTAGTTCAGGAGATTAGCGATTTCAAATAAACGAGAAACTCACAAACATACCAGCTTTTTAATATTAATATAGATTATTTATTTATTCAATTAACCACGAGCACGTACCTTACACTCAGTAGAGCTGACGATCTCGACGAGGAACCGTGTCCTCGTCCCGACCTTCACGGTGAGGTCCTGCAGACGTCTCAGGAACGTAGGGGGATCCTCTCCCGTGGGAGCTTCATCTGCACTGACCTCCAACCGGACTCGACTTGTGTCGCTCCCGGCTGCATTACTAGCCTGTTACAAAAGAAATCGCTTTTTATTCCTTGTTTGGTTATTGATGTTTATAAATTGGTTTATACTCATATCATACACATAAAACAAACGAGATAAAAAGTAACAAATGATCAATTAAAACCCCTATGAATGAATTAACAGGTAACCCTGGTTTGGAACAAAGAAATATAATTATTAACTGCTATTACTGTTTAGTATAAGACTTTTACTTGTATTATAATTTCCTATTGTGTAACTGTTTTTGTCTCCTAATAAATAAATAAATAAAATTATATCATCACAACCGAATAAGTTTTCTGCTGAACGTAAAAGATACTGACTCAGACTCAAACAAAAAGATTCGCAAAAGGCCAAGTTGCAAGAACACAAGGCAGATAACATTAAAACTGCAATATAGTGAAGCAACAGACGAAAAAAAACAATAGCTATATTTTATAGTGCTAAATAAATGAGTCATGGAATTGTAATAAAATGTTTTTTATATTAATGATTTTATCAGACCATGCCTTCGTCCTTATGTTCCAAATAACGTCTGCAGCAAAAAATCCACAATGACGGAGGTAACTGTGAACAATGTTGGTCGTCATCGCCAAGGAAACTGAGCATACTTTGTGCATTGTCCAGTGCCTTGCCTCCATAGGTGTAATTAAGTACAGCAACACTATCGATCGAAACGAGGCCAACAGGGCATCTAAATATTTTATACGTAAGTCATTAAATACTATTAGGTTCCTATGGGTCTTTCGCGCCATGTTAGTAACAGATCGATGTCTTGACATATGCATGCATCAGGTGATTATAGGTTTCCTAAGTATTTTTTAAGAAGATATGAGTTTTTTTGGCCTTCTTACACAGGGACAAAACATTAGAAAAAATATATACCTATAGGTATCTTGGTTGTCTTACACGAAATTTATTGATATAGCTAATTATCTGTGCGAAATTTTAAACCTTCTACGTTCCAATAGCCCAACAAAATGTGTAATTACAATTATTATCTTTGGAAATTAATGAAAACAGTTAAGCTTTATGTTCTAATAGAGACGACGTCAGTAAGATAGTAAAAAAGGTACCTACTGAGATACAAAAAAAATATAATAATAATTATCCTCCTAAATTATCATTATTCTTATACAGAGAGACAGGGCCTACAATGCTCCTAAACTAATGTATGTATATCCTTATGTACCCTACCACCTAAGTTCACATTGTATAATGCAAAAAATATTAATAAAGTATTGAGTATTAAAGTTTAGAAGTGGCAGCTGGTAATATTATCACAAAGTATTAAATATACTACTTAATCGAGACGTATCAATGTATCGTCAGATGTTGATTCTATATGTTTTAAATAAATCAAGAATTCACTACAATTTAGCCTTAATTTCGTCCTGCGTTAGGTGCGTTTACTTGTACCAAACAGTTACAATACGCTTCGTGTGCGCTGACTCTATTAAACTCATGTCTCCAGACGATCTCTGCTTTAGGGAGACGTAGCGCTGATTCAAAGGGTTTCGTTACTACCATCTCAAAGGCGAAGTGCATAGCCTTAGATTTGCCCTAAGAAATACCTAGGACGCTGCGTGCTATCCACCTGGAGCTGATCTTAGGAATTGACAAATGTTCAGCTATTGAAACCAAATTTCGATGATCAAGGCTTTGATGTCCATTTACAGTGAACGTTAGACATTTTACGGGCGATTTAGTTAGAATACACACTGGCTTTCATAGTTAGTGTTATTGCATCCGCTTTTCTCTGACAGGGTAAACAGTGGTGTATTGCATCCGATGCCTATAGCTGTAGGTACCTATACTAGTCACAAACATATAAAAAAGTAAAAAGTCCAATTGTAGCCCCGCCCTGGAACTGGACTGGAAGTATGGCCTCCTCTCATATGAAGAAGATTTGATCATTAATTACTCACTTTGTTAAAGCGGATAAAGCGGATTGACGATTTGACTTATAATTAGTTTACGATGTTTTTCATCTTACATAAAATTGTGCACATTATACATAATTTTATTTAACGCATCCCTCTTGCGTGAAAATTGGACATATAGATATAGATTCATCAATATTTTTAAATTATTATTGTTTGATAACAGTTAACAAAAAAAAAAACAAACCTCGCTATTTTCTTCAGTCATAGATCTACTTTATGATATGCTAATAAGTCAACATTGCGCACAGGTATAATTGGATTCTTAATTTATCGTATAATATAGCGCTTTCTTACATAACAAATTAAAGAGCATACTCACTTGTAATGTGTACACATTGGTGTCTCCGGTCCGTGCTGAGGACACCGTCAGCCGGACGCCGCCCGCGTCATCCGTCGCCGTGAACCGTTCGTCTAACGACGCTCCAGCGCGACTCCTGTACATTTCACAAAAAATTTAATCATAGAAAAACAGTTTTAGGTATTTCTAGCATCGAATTATGTTTATAATCCTGTTATATATATCATAAGATACAAAATCCTTATATGCACATAAATAACATCTATTTAATACAGCATGACAATAGTCCATGTAATTGGGACTACACTTGCATTCTACATGAATCTGCACTTACACATGAACATAAAAATGAATAATAAAATGAGTCTTGAAGTATCAATGACAATGAAAACTAAAACTCTAAGATGACTGAGTGAAAACAACAAATAATTATTGCACATTAACAAAGGCGGGTTTACAGACGGGACAGTAATAAACGTCCAATGGCCGAGTTGCAAGAAATATCCGCAGGAGCCGATATGTAATATCCTTTAGATCAAAGACGAGCTAGACTTGCTTACTGGCCTGTCACTAGCAGAGACTCGCATAGACGACCACGAGAGCGTACGAAAGACAATGACTAGAAACGTCAAACAGATAGAATTACAAAGAGGTCGCTAGGTTGACATACAAACGGATTTCTATTACATAAATCAAGTTGAATGAATGTTTAGACTTGAGACTTATTTATTATAACATGATTTGTCTCCAACTGCTGTTGCTTCTATTAACGAGACATTTAAATCACAAAGACATAAACGTTTTTAACTTGACTATCCCTTTGTACTTTAGTCCATTTAGTGTCAAAAAGTTTTTTGTCTCAATAGTCAAAGACATGTTAAAAGGATTTTGAAAAGACGACACATGTTAGACATTTTTTGAAACTAAGTATTCTTTGTTTATGTCAATTATTTGCTTTTGGATAAGTCTTTTAAAAGTAAAAAAAATCTATTACCAGAATATTAGATTGAAAATAGAAATGTAATTTTATTTTTTACTACACTCCCCATAGTAAAAATGCGTGCAAATTATTCTGAATTACGCACACTACTTATAAATTATTTTATTCGGAAAACGTAAACTCATATTATTTTTTTTTATCAACATGGCATTCGACACCTCATAGACATTCAAACAACAAAACCAAGACTAGGGTTAGCAAGATAATTAATTAGCCAATAATACTTTGTGGAGGATGAACATGGTGTGTCTAGATCTAGACACACCAAGTTCATCCTCTAACTTCTTTTTTACCTTAAGAACCCTCTTAAGGTAAAAAAGAATGTCAAGAGAACACAAATTGAATAGCATCACTCGAATTTAATTGGTAAAAGCTATTCAACTATATCGCGAACACTAAACAATATACAACTATAGTAAATGAAATCACTATAATAATTATTCTCACATATAACAATGTTTCCAGAAAGGAATTCCACAGAACAAACACCGTATTCGAATATATCTTGAAACCGAATGCGACTCAATCACATGAATAATCGATTCAAATCGATTGTATGGTCGCAGCTCTTCGTGTTTTTAAACTGCAACACACAATTTGTCACACAGGAATTGGAACCTTAACCAGTAATGTATAGATGTCTATTTGTCAAAAGGCTAACCAGTCGTCAAGTTTTAATTTGTAAACTAGCATTAACGTACTCGAAAGTCGAGTTAAAAGTGAAGTTGATAATCTATTTTCCTTCTATCTTCCTAACTCGGTTGGGTCAGAACTGAGTCTTAACCAGATTCAAGCTGGATGTCCGTATCTATTAAAACTAATCATTGCGGCTTTAAAGTGATACGAAGTTCAAATTAAAACTTTTTGGTAACCAAATCCCGTAAACGGTGATCGTATAAAAGAAATTTACATTCGATTGTGCCAATCTCATAATTGTCTTTTTGATAAGGTTTGATGTTTGATTGAGTGCACTCGTACTTATAAATCCTGGAAGCGTTTTGCATGTACATCTGTTAGCTTGTAAGATCATTTTGTAAAAAATAAAATTGTGTTTAATGTAATTATAAAGTCGCGGTGGCTCGTAGCTTAAGGTGCCCACTTTTCAAGCATGAGGAGTTCCAAACCTGCAAGTACCAATGTGACTTTTTCCGAGTTACCTACATATACAATGTATATGTATTTTCTATGACTATTTAGACATCACTGAGTTACGATGAAGGAAAACATCGTGAGGAAACCTGGACTTATAATTTCTAATTATTAGTTAGAAATCGACCTTGAGCAAGTGTGATGACTGATGAAAATGTTTCTATAAAATTAAGATCATGTCAAAATTAAATGTCAATAATATTTAATTGAATACCTACAATAATTAATCAATGTTTATGTCACAGAAACAAATTCAATTAGGATATTATAGTCATATCAAAACTAATTAATTTCAAAACTATATTTTATCAACATTTGTAATTGGAATGCACTAATAATAATAAGATAAATCAAATTCAAAAACTTCATTCATTGAAACACGACATTGCGTAGAAGTAAAACCTCTTTAGTGTAATCTGCTCATAGATTATGCAAATACTTTTAAATAGATATGACGCAGTGATGAATGGAAGCGGTTGGCTGGTGAAGCTAATTTATTTCGAGTTACGATGACCGGTCCCGTGATATTTAGATTTGACGGCTCGTACAACAGTCTAAGTCTATTGTAATGGTCAACTATTCTTGGAATGTAGAGTGCACCGTATTGATTCTCCATTCGTTTTTTACAATTTGTGTTTTCCTTATCATTATTATCATACAGCAATGGCGCGAGTATACTTTTTTTACCCTAAATCCCTTCGCTTGCCTCGGGTCTCACTACGAATCAAGAGCCATTTTATAGTCATCCGGCATGAGCGAGTGTTAGACCCTAACTGACTTAAAAACACTCCGTTACTTCTGCTATGGGCCGGGGTCGCAGCCATCGCGATCACACCCACAACCCCGGTAGGTAATAAAGCTGATATATGTAAGTGAACCGATTGCCATGCAAAATTCCAAATTAAAAAAGTGCTAACAGTGAGAGATAAAAAAACAACTGCAAAGCGTTTGTAATATTACGAAGCAGTCACAATGTCACTCATTACACGCTGCTACTAACACAAAGTCAACTTGTTCTCAGTACAATACACCCTAAAATATTCTCCCCAAAAAGCACCAAAATAGTGTCCTTGATTCCTCCAAGGGATATGCACAAATTTTGAATCCCACAAGCAATTTTATCAGGACATATTCGAAGCCACTTTGACTATAGAGCGTATAATCCTTTAACCGTAAACAAATCTTAAATTTTATACAAGTCTGGCTGCTGATAATATTCAGTGTTTTGAGGCTATTGATTATTTATAAGTTAGTTATTTCGTCCTTAACAGTGCTATGGGTATATATAGCATACTATTGTATACCTAATAACTTAAAAATATTTGTCTAAATAGATACGTAAGTTATCACAATACAAATAAATGTATAGTTTAGGCCTCATTCGACAGATTGATATACTAAACTCATGCCTATTCCATTGTATTAGAGTCCAAAATAAAAATAAATGTAATACAGAAATAATGTTTAAGATAAAATTTCCAAACATTTCTATGTCCTCTACAGTCTGTCTTCAATATCGTAGGAGATATCGTTACGTAGACGTATCGTACAAATTCAAGCAACTTCTTTCAAGAAATCAAAAGGACGCAAAGGACTTACTTGTAAATTGTACTTCAGAATACAACTTCCATGAAACTTAAGTTCTTGAAATGGATTTTCCTTCTTAGAACGCGAAGAAGACTTTTAAAAACATAGAACATTAATACCCATTGTATGAGTTCAGTTCCCATAATTCTTGCATAATGTGTTTATGGAAATATGTGAATATTTTTATGTGATAATTGGATGGTGGTGTTAATGGAATGCCAAATCAATGAACTTCTAATAAGACTGGTTTTTGAAAAACTTTACAACTGTACAATATGTAATGAAACTGACAAAAAAATACAGGTCAATCAGACTTGACTCCATATAAATGTAATAGGCACCATTTTCTCAAATCATTCTCCTCTTTTCAACGGACCTCTACCTACCTCAGTACAACAACCGGCCTTCAGTTAAAGAACTTGGAAGCAAACCCGTGACCTTGCGTCCCTTTCAACACAACCGTGCGAAGCGTGTCCCGAAATAAATATCATTGCGATATATCTACTGGTCGCCAAAATCTTAGCCCAATTACCATGAGAGTGTCAATCGGAAACTGCTGTCCTACATATCGGACAGCCGATAACTTTCAGACATGTATTATTGAAAACTACAAACAATCTACTACTAGTCCTAACTAAACTACAAACTACTATTAAGATATTCAAGCTAAAAAAGAGACAGAATTTATTTTTATTTTTCATATCATTTATTTATAGGTATTGATTTAAATTATCCAAACGCGAAATGCGAAAGTAACTCAGTCAGTCTGTATGTCTGTCCGTCTATCTTTTCTTCACACCTAAACTACTGAACCGATTTCTGTAAAATTTGGTATAGGCATAATTTGGAACTCGAAAAAGGACATAGGATAGTTTTTATACAAAAAATCTGCAGGAAGTCACTAATCCACTCGAACGGACTCGCGGGCAAAAGTTAGTAATAATCATAGGTAGCAGAAATAAAGAAGTGGGTACAGGAAAGATAAATAAGGGCAAATAATATTATATAAGAAATAATAGGACACTTAATAAGAACAGAAGATGAGAAACTATTATTGTTAACAAAATATCTCTGGCCCAATAACTGCTGAATACTATTAGAGTGGCTTAAGACCGATTGTGGAACAAACAGACCGATGTTGACGCCTCTAATTGTCCATCTATGCATTCAAATTGAGTGACATTTATAGCCGGTCTCAACAAGCGATCTGCAAACGTACAACATGTCAAAATTATATCCCTAATAGTCAGATCAGAACTTCAGCATTAGTAACCGTTATCGATGTAGAAAGGAAACAGATGTATTGAAATTTCTGCAGGTTATCGATAAGTCACGTGTTCAACCAATTAATTGCCATACATTAGTGTTGTAACATAAGCAATAACGACCATCGATAACTTTTGACTAA